TACTCACTTGTAATGATCAACACAGTCATTTATCGTTGACTTCTGTGAATATTCAGGTGATTTGCATAGTTGTCTTACTTGCTTAAAATAGTTTGTATGCGTGGATGTTGCCCCAACAGTTTGTGGTCCTTGGTCAAAACACCTGTAACACACCTGAGTTCAAGTCATTAAAAAATGAGATGCTTTCTAAATCTTCCTTTTTGATATTACCAGAGGTACATTACTTGAGGTTTGCAACTACAGTGACATGATACCAAGATCCTGTTTCAATCTCGCTCTCGCATAAGCGTTTGAACTCAGAAAAATGAGAATGCACATGCCCAAGGTAACTAGAATACTGGGAGGTCCAGGTGGATCAAAATAGCTGTTCACGATATGACAAATTACAATAACTATATACTGTACTGTACATTTTCGATGTATTCCATTTTTTTTTAATATGAATGTGATAAACATGTTTTATTGTTTTATTACAAACCGCCTATGTCATGTCAGAAGGCCGTAGCTTCAGTCTTGCTATCTACGAGAAGAGACTTGAATGGGATCTTGACATGATGTTACCATACAGTACTATGCGCGTTGCAAACCCCAAGTAATGTACCTCTGATATTACACAATGTATAAATGGCTTTAATTAAAGTAAGCACAGTGACAGCAACAGAATGCTGCTCACGAAAAGTGCTCTACAGATAATATGTGTCTATATATCCTGTGAGTTTGAAAGCGGTGCACTTTCAATCAATGGGTACCGCCATTTTGTTTGTTTATTTTCACAAACTATGCGAAGTGAGACAGTTCATTCATGATAAAAAATTTTCAGAATATTGTTCAATGATAAGGCAATTGTTTTCTGAAAATAATTGTTTCGAACTACAATGTATTTTGATCAGTGTCAACACACTAATCGTGTGTGGCGCCACCTTGAATTCTGCTCAATTTCGCATGTGAATGAAAAATTACATCCCACTTCACGTGCTTCAACTTTAGTAAACTACTAGGGTGTGCTCACTCGCCAGTCAATACAAATGAACATTCATATACAAGCAGACCTAATGAAATTTGTATGAATATTTTTGTTGATAAATATTTATTTAGTTTGCTCATTTACCCTCACAGTAATATGTAATTCAAAGGGGTGAATTGTGATAAATATAGCATTTTCCATATTATTTTTTGTGTTCACTGAGTATAAATCACAAGATTTAATAAAATAAAATAAGTTTAATTTGCAGTCTGCATTCAACTCTTCATACCTTATAAAGTTTACCTCCAGGGTCAGGTTCTGCAAGTACAGATAATCTTCTCTGATAGTTTGTACACGTCCAACAAAACACTTCACCACATCTATAAGTGAATACAGACAGGCCACACATAGAATGGTGTCAGACAGAGACAAGTCATTCAACAGAGTCGTCTTATATCACTGCACCATTTCGTGACCACTCCATGGTCCACAATTTTTTCCCAATTTTCGAATAAAAGTCTTAAAGTGAAGAGAAAAATCTTAAAGTGAAGGACTTGTCACCTGAACACGCATGCGAATTGAGTCCCAAAGGACGATAACAATGCATGCTAAAAACACAAAGGCTTATGGATAGATGCTTGTTTTCAAACAATGACACGCTATGGTTGACTGCCACATGTGCAGGTGAAAACTCCCTCGCTTTATATGCATCTGAATTTGAACCAAATACTAAACTATGATGTAGCTTATAGATTACAAAACTACTTGTTTTTTCATCTAAATTTGTCTTGTAACTTTAAATATCTAAATGGTTCAAAGCTTACCTCCTGCAGTGATGTTTTCTCTCTGTCAGTGAAAATTTCAGTTTACAACTAGGATTGACACATTCAGATCTTTCACTGTTTTCCACCCAATGTCTCTTCGTTATCTCCTGTCTATCTAGCTGACCAGGATCTTGCGTCCCCTCAACCATCTGGGTGAACCCCCGTAATTCATCTTGCATTAGTTTATCCCATTCTGGCTGAGATATTGGTGACTGGTTCATAGTTGGTGTGGTGGGATAATCCATTTGTGGAGAAGGATGTTGTGAGGAGGGGTGAGCAGCAGCCATTTTTCTTTCACATTGCTTTTTTATATACCAATAGAAGAGAGGGAGGAGTTAAAAAAAAGCTTGGTACAAATTCTGTGTGTTAGAAGGATTGGAGGCAAAGTCAAAGGAAAGAAAAAGAAACTTAGTACAGTCAAACCTGAGTTAGTGACCGCCATTATATAAAGACCATCTGCCTATAGTGAAAACCTTTTGACAGTTCCAATAAAATTTACAATGTAAAGTTATCTGTGTATAAAGACTACCTACTGTATAATACTTTATTTCAGCTGGAATCAATTTTCGCTGAAAATTGGTGTGTTTTGTATGGAATTCGTTTTCACTGATTTTTCATGAGTTGAATGTAAAATATAGGAAAAAGGGTATATCCGCTGGATTTTATTTTCACTAATGCATTCCTTTAGTAAAAATTAATTCTAAGTGAAAATAAAGTATTTTACAGTATCTAATGTAATCAGTAAGAACCCTTTTGGCACTAGTTTGGTCGTAGAAAGTATAAAGGCAAAAAATATTAGAAAATGGCTTCCATGTTTAGTGTTACACTAGTTTCTACACTGACATTATCAATACAATCAAAAAAAAAAATTTATTCACCCATCTCCAAATATCTGTTGACAAATTTGAACAGGAAAATTGTTGTATTCATGAATTACATACCGGTAATCAATCTAAAGACCACCTGTCTATAAAAGACATTTCTGTATTACAGCCAAAACAAAGTCAGCTTGGACATTCAGTTGTGAGACATGACAAAATAAATGATGCCAGTGATAGATTTTGAGAATGAAAGAACAAAATAAATGCAATCAAAGGCGCCGACCACGCACTTTGGGAATAAATAGAATGCGTTGCGACGAGAAATCTCATCTGCATCTTTCACTCATGCAAACTCACACACACATGCTATTTCTGTATATTGAATACATTGGCAACAGAAGGGACAAGTTTAAATCATCTTTGTATTAACACAACTTGAAAGCAACAGTCTCACACTGAATATATGTTTATTGATTATCAAACTAAACATTCAATGAAGCGGACTGCGATGGTTAGGAAGAAAAGACAAGGCTAAGACAAAAAATATGTGACAGTACGATTATGCTCGTCTACTACACGCCCGGGGACTACAAGTTCAAGTATCCAACTTCCCAATACAAAAAATAATTAGTATCAGTAATAATTTCTAGTACTGCCTGGATAATTGCGTATTATTAGTTGACATCAGACATAACCCTGTACATCTCCGGTCATAAGCTCGCTGGTTCGAATTTATCCACTTTTACAGTGATGAATAATGCGTTCGAGTTGAGTTACAATTACAAGTCTGATTTACATTTTTCTTGTGGTGTTTTTCGTCAATGTATTAAATATAAGTGCATTGAGAAATAGCATAATTATATTGCGTGAGTGAAAGAGGCTGGTGAGACTGTGTCACAAAATGTTCTATTTATTTCCAACGCGCGTGGTCGGCGCCTCTGATTGCGTTTATTTTGTATTTTTATTTTCGAAATGTATCACTGGTTGCGTTTTTTTTTTATGTCTCGCAACTGAACGTCCAAGCAAGGTCATGTTTTGGCTGTAAAGTAACTTGGGTGGTCACTATACACAGGTTTGACTGTAATTAAAAAATAGCATATAATGTTTTTTATGTTAATACATTAAACATTTATCCCTGAAGACGCTCACACTACATCCAAATCCAATTACCCATGAGCCTCTGTGTCTTTTCCTCTAATATGACCTACATCTATATAATATATATGTATATACCTGTATATATATTTTGAATATTTTGACATATAAAGTTTCAATAGACCATATTAACTTTAAAGCAGCAGGAAAACTATTGTGATGAGTCAAAGATTACCCTGACCATAATGAAATTCTATATAGGCATTATGACTGACCTAATTGTTCTAAAACGTAAGTTGCATATCCTTATTTTATAAATCCTTTTTAAACACACACACATGTTAGTTTGTTTTGAGACTGGTAAACATCTTGTAAATGAAATCCACAACATTCCCCATCAGTGTATCATACAGTGGTTTATTTTACTGTGATATGACTCATCTGTACAAAAACATTGACTACAAATAAAATGATCTGTTCGAAAATGTTACATTAACACCCCCACCTAATCACCGACCCATTAACACAATTCAATGGGTGGCCAAGTTCAAATCGTCGTCAGCCACTAACATTAACACTACAGGAAACTAACAGTTTGCATATTGTGTACTCTATTCTTTGCTGCACATTTATGACATGTATTTTATTGTGGACATGTCATATCTATCGCAGTACACTGTCATCACACCAAAGAATCATCATGTTCACTTATCTCTGTGTACTTGTCCGAGTATCCAAGTTGTCAGCACCACACACACTTATGAACTTATGGATGTGTACAGGGGCGTGACGATCTATTCGTGTGGTTGTTTGCTGAAGTCAATACATGGACGTCTATGGGGTGGAACGACTATGCCTCGGTACATACAGATACAGGGCAAATACACAAACCACGCCTAACAAGAAAGAAATTGCCAAATTTGCCAGAATGAAAAGAAAGATTGATGATGAAAAACATTACCTCCTAACGTGTTCACACTATGATACATTAAGAAAAGACTGCCTAAAAACTAGTAAATATACTTAAAACAAAAGACAAAAATATTTTTTTATTAATTTAGGCAAATTTGGAAACAAAGGCTTCTTAAGGTAGAAGCCTACTCATAAATTAAAAAAAAACAGAATTTATTTATTTTGCAATAAATTGTACTCCAAGGCAATATAAGGATATTGACCTAAAAAAGTTGGGGGTCACCAGCCCTTTTTTTGAGAAATTTATGATAGTATTTCACTGGAAAGTCACCATTTTGACACTATTATAACACTTTTACCACAGGTTCCTATGGCAGAGATATTATGCAATATCTCAAAATCTAGCCTGGTGACATAGGCTGAAAAAATCATATATATTGTTAATGATGGAATACTTTTGTTGTTCTGAATTACGTAAAAATTCTGGGGTTTTAAAAAGTGTCAAAAAATGCAATTTTTCTTTAAGATTGTGTTCTGTGCAATTGTTCAAAAAATAGCAATTTTCAAGAAATATTAGGACACGTTTCTAAAAAAGCATAACTGCGACGCACAAAATAATGCTATTTCATTGTACCATGAAACATTAGCTTCATGATTGTACATAATAAACTAACTGAACATTGTCATGCGATTTATGACCAATTTTGTCAAAAATTGTGAGTAGGCTTCTACCTTAAGAATAATATCCAGGTTCGTGGGCGCTTATATTCAAACTTGTATTTCACAGTGAAGATGGCATTTGAACACCTACATGTTATATACTTTTTAGTTAGCTTGTGTGTGAATTGTGTGAAAATATATTATATATATCAAATATATTAAATATCAAAATTACCAGCTGCCTCATAATTTTATTTAGTTTTTTTTTTCTTTTCTTTTCTTTTTTTTTTTCATTTCATTTTAACTTTCAACATTTAACTTTATTGTATTACGAACAATATCTCATTTAGGGATACGTTTATCAATAAAGATTATTATTATTACATTATATATTACTATTATATATTACTTATAATATGAAGAAAAAATATAGAAATTTGGTAAAAAAGAAGAGAAGGGAATTTAAGAGTGACATCTTAAATAAACTTCAAAAACTGGGTGAATCAAACACCAACAAATATTGGGAGTTAATTAGAGAACTAAAAAATGATAACAAAGACAATAGCTATGAAAATATTGATTGTAATAAACTATTCAACAATTTCAAAGATCTTAATAATGATACAGACAGTCAAGATATTAATACAAACATCAAACATGAGTCTAATATCTTAAATAAATTATCAACAGATTCAAAAGAACTAAATGAACCAATCTCACAACTTGAAATCCAAAAAGCCTTAATAACCTTAATAATGGGAAATCCCCAGGAAAAGATAACATCTCAAATGAGATGATTAAAGCTGGCAGGCACACTCTTATTATACCAGTTCAAAAACTTTTTAATATGATTCTTACAAGTTGATTTTTCCCCACTAACTGGAATACAGGAATAATAACCCCAGTCTTTAAAAAGGGTGGCAAATCTGACCCGAGTTACTATAGGAGGCATTACACTGTTAAACACCTTGAGCAAATTGTTCACAGCAGTTTTAAACAAGACTTATTAAATATATTGATGTAAA